TAACACTGTCAGCAAGTACAGTAACACTGTCAGCAAGTACAGTAACACTGTCAGCAAGTACACTAACACTGTCAGCAAGTACAGTAACACTGTCAGCAAGTACAGTAACACTGTCAGCAGGTACAGTAACACTGTCAGCAAGAACACTAACACTGTCAGCAAGTACAGTAACACTGTCAGCAAGTACACTAACACTGTCAGCAAGTACAGTAACACTGTCAGCAAGTACATAAGCACTGTCAGCAAGTACACTAACACGTACAGTACACTGTCACAAGTACAGTAACACTGTCACACTATATAAACTGTCAGCAAGTACACTAACACTATCAGCAAGTACACTAACATTGTCAGCAACTACAGTAACACTGTCACAAGTACACTAACACTGTCAGCAAGTACAGTAACACTATCAGCAAGTACACTAACACTATCAGCAAGTACACTAACACTGTCAGCAAGTACAGTAACACTGTCAGAAAGTACACTAACACTGTCAGCAAGTACACGTAACACTGTCAGCAAGTACAGTAACACTATCAGCAAGTACATAACACTATCAGCAAGTACACTAACACTATCAGCAAGTACACTAACACTATCAGTCAGTAACTAACACTACAGTCAACACAGTAACACTGTCAGAAAGTACACTAACACTTGTCAGCAACTACAGTAACACTGTCAGCAAGTACACTAACACTGTCAGCAACTACAGTAACACTGTCAGCAAGTACACTAACACTGTCAGCAAGTACACTAACACTGTCAGCAAGTACAGTAACACTATCAGCAAGTACACTAACACTGTCAGCAAGTACAGTAACACTATCAGCAAGTACACTAACACTGTCAGCAAGTACACTAACACTATCACAAGTAACACTGTCAGCAAGTACAGTAACACTGTCAGCAAGTACACTAACACTCACAAGTACACTAACACTATCAGCAAGTACACTAACACTGTCAGCAAGTACAGTAACACTGTCAGCAAGTACAGTAACACTGTCAGCAAGTACACTAACACTGTCAGCAAGTAACTAACATGTCAGCACTCAGTACACGCAGCAAGTACACTAACACTGTCAGCAAGTACAGTAACACTATCAGCAAGTACACTAACACTGCCAGCAACTACAGTAACACTCTCAGCAAGTACACTAACACTGTCAGCAAGTACAGTAACACTGTCAGCAAGTACACTAACACTGTCAGCAAGTACACTAACACTATCAGCAAGTACAGTAACACTATCAGCAAGTACACTAACACTGTCAGCAAGTACAGTAACACTATCAGCAAGTACAGTAACACTGTCAGCAAGTACACTAACACTATCAGCAACTACAGTAACACTGTCAGCAAGTACACTAACACTATCAGCAACTACAGTAACACTGTCAGCAAGTACACTAACGCTGCCAGCAATTTATTAGTCAAAAACCAAACACAATAACAACATTAACAATGGTACACATTAACAATGGTACACATTAACAATGGTACACATTAACAATGGTACAGACGCACTACCAAACATACAATGTTCAGAAGACAAATACAATGGAGAAATTAGTATACCTTGAAGGATCATGTGGATGGACGCAGACGGGACGGCGGAGCACACAACAATAACAGTGCATGATCCTCTCTCATATGCATGACTTCCACTATAACAGTCTAGATAATTATATAAAGTGTGGTAATTATATACAGAGCCAAGTTATTATTATTATTATTATAATCAAGGGGAAGCGCTAAACCCGGAGGATTATACAGCGCCTGGGGGGGGGGATGTGGAAGGCATTCAGGCTTAATTCGGGGAACTGGAGCACAGATCCAATTCCCTAAATCAAGAGCCCCTCACCAACATCAAGGAACCTTTCTTGAGGGGAGCCGAGTTATAAAAATTAGACCCTTTTTTGAGTCAGTTCCAATCCTATATACCTTGTACATGTGACTCACGAAATCGTAATGACACGATTGCAAACAAACCATACCCCGGGCGGGGATAGAACCCGCTGTCAGAGAGTCTCAAGGAGTCTCAAGGAGTTTTGAGACTCTCTGACCGCGGGTTCTATCCCCACCCGGGGTATACCTTGTACATGTACTCGTAGAAATAAAGATATTTATTGTACTACTGAGCGAATATCCGATTTAATTAGTGAATACTAAGGCAGTATATTGAACTCGCTTCAAGCTGCCCTCAGAGGTTTATCAAGCTTTATCATAAGTAAAGAGGTGGGAATATACTACGTGTAGACGAGTCTAATGTGCGTCTAATACCATAATGAAGATCTATAAGGGAATCGCAGCTGTAACATGAACTTTCGACTGTAATAACTCAAGAACAAGTTGTCGATTAAGCATTCGTTTACGTCATTATATTCCGTAGTTATTCGTGTGGCTGGATTCTATCTCGCAGAGTACCTACGATGCTCACAACTCGCTCTGTAGAGTCAGTTACCTGCAGAGTACTGCAAAGTACTACGGAGTA